TGATCTCTCCAACCTTTGTCCTCATCCTGATGGGGACACAGGAGATGGTTTGGATGATCTCTCCAACCTTTGCCCTCATCCCGATGGGCACATCTCCGTACAATCCTTGGGCGCTTCACGCAAAACCCAACTTCATCCCTGCTCCAACCAGAGTTGGGGCCTCCTAGTTGTGTTTGCCAAGGCAGGACCTTGTGCCCAAGGACCTGGGGGAGGCCCCGGAGCCCCAGGGCTCAGCTCTGCTCTGTCCCATGGCCGCAGACAAACCGATGCAGCTGAACCAGGCGCTCTTCATGCTCGGCGGCCGCAGCGGGTACGTCCTGCAACCCGACATCATGAGGGACGAGACCTTCGACCCCTTCGACAAGAACAGCCTGAAGATCGTGGAGCCCATCACGGTCCAGCTGCAGGCAAGTGGGCGAGGACCACCTTGAGGTGGCCACCTGTTATGGTTTGGAGCTGGCTCCCTGCCAAGTCTCCAAACCTCACCACAAGAAGTCCCCCCCCACCCCAATCCAAGGGAGAAGAGGGGAAAAAAAAACCCAAAAGAACTGAAAACGAGACAGAGACAAAGCAGTATATATAAATATATTTACAGTTATGTACAGTTGGAATATATATACAATTTCACAGGGAAAAGGGAAAGGGGAAGGGAAGAACAAAAACCAAAATAATATATATATATATTATCCCCATCAGTAGCCCAAGGTCTATCAACTAAAAGAATTAGCAGAGAATATCTTACTACTCTCCTTGGGACAATGGAGAGTCACGTTGGGGTGACTGCCAGCAGCCTTCGCCTCCCAAGGTCGACAAGGCCTTACCAGGCCTCACTCTCCAAGCCGACAGACTCAACACAGGGAGATCTGCACCTCCAAAGCCGCCGGAAGGAAAGAGAGCAAAGATCTTTCCTCCCTTCTTCTTATACCCCAGTTTACGTAAAAATCGTAGGGAATACCGGGTAAATCTGGGCACTTCCTTGGTTACAAACTGGTCACCAAGGAAGGCCTAGGCCAAACTACCACACCACCACCAAGGCGGGGAAATGTTCCATCAGTTTTGGGTCGGCCGGGCGTGGGTGTTACGTGTTTCAGCCGCGTGGAGTTGGTTACTCTTGGAAGGCTTTCCTCACCTTCCTGCTCCTCCCGTTGCTCCCACAGATCCTGGGCGCCCGGCACCTGCCCAAGAACGGGAGGAGCATCGTGTGCCCCTTCGTGGAGGTGGAGGTTTGCGGCTCCGAGTACGACAACAGCAAGAACAAGACGGATGTCGTAGGTGAGGGACCGCGGGGATGATACTCCTGTGCCCTTCGAATCCGAAAAATCCGGGATAATAAACTGCCCAGAGACTTTTGATCTTTGAGCAGCAAAGGTATTTATTGACAGCTAGCGCTGGAAAAACTTGCTCGAAGGCTTCACACAAAATCAGCAGGTTTTATACAATTTTCATATATGATTAAGTGCATATTCATGTGATTACAGTATCTATCTATACATATTAATAATAATAAATACAATATAGGTGGAGCTCAGGGGGGGCTTGGGGCGGGGCTTCCCCTGGCCCTCAATTTTGATGAGAGATCCGTTCTTCCTCCCATGGGTCTGGGGGTTAATTCTCATCTTCCTTGGCTTGACCTCCCTTCTCTTCTATTGTTCTCGACCCGCTCACTGAAGCCTTGAGAAGGCCTTGGCTCCCAGCCTGTTTCTTCTCTTCAAATGTCTGCTTTATCTTACTGCATCTTAATTTATTACCTCTAGGCCTATTCTATGTTTCTTTTACCATTCTTTTAAGTTTTGGTCCAGTAGGTAGGACAGAATGATCGTTTAGATGCTCATAGCTTGTTAGCAGGCCCAAATTTCTCAGTTAACTCTTTTGGGCCTGGCCTCCTGTTTCACCTTGAGGGGACGTGTGGGTGCCGGTGCTGTGTGGGTGATGTCCGTGTGTCCGGCCTGGCTCCGACCCTTCCCGCTCTCCCCCTGCAGCCGACAATGGCTTCAACCCCGTGTGGCTCTTCAAGCAGTTCGTCTTTGACATCAACAACCCCGAGTTCGCCTTCCTGCGCTTCGTGGTGTACGAGGAGGACATGTTCAGTGACCCCAACTTCTTGGCACAGGCCACCTTCCCCGTCAAGGGCCTCAAAACAGGTACGGTCCTTCCACCGTCACCGTCATCTTCTCCGGCACAGTCACGGAATCGTAGAAGGGTTTGGGTTGGAAGGGACCTTTAAAGGTCAATTAGTCCAAACCTTTGCAATCATCTCCATCGTAAAGTCATGGAATCATTGAAGGGTTTGGCTTGGAAAGGACTTTTAATGGTCAGCTAATCCAAACCCTTGCAATCATCTCCATCATCATCATCATCATCATCATCATCATCTTCTCCATCATCAAGTTATGAAATCATTGAAGGGCTTGGGTTGGAAGGGAGCTTTGAAGGTCAACGAGTCCAACCCCCCTGCAATCATCATCTCCATCATAGAGTGATGGAATCATAGAAGGCTTTGGGTTGGAAAGGACCTTCAAAGGTCAACTAGTCCAAACCCTTACAATAATCATCATCATCACAGATCATGGAATCACAGAAGGGTTTGAATTGGAAGGGACCTTTACAGGTCAACTAATCCAAACCCTTGCAATGATCATCATCATCACAGATCATGGAATCATA